TAACATAAGCCTGTCTCGTCGCACGGTATGTTTCTCGCCTCCATGAATAAAATAAGATAGCAATGGCAGACTCTACCTGTCTCACTCCACCTAACAAATTATGCCGTTTGCGAAAACGAGAAAGTTATAACCTACGTAGAACAGAAATGCAATAAAACCCTGAGCCTACATGAGTGATTTGTTATATAGAGCCGTACAGTTTGTTAGGTATAGTAAGTAGACGTGTTGTTTCATTTGTTTAACAGACGGTTCGCTCACGTGTTAATTCCCGCTTAACTTTGGCTCACAATGATAATTAACTTATGTGATTTTAAATAGTGTATTAAGGAAACTCTGAATATATATTATTCACATTATTCAATGATATATAAATTAAATAACAATTAATATAGTAATGTATATATTTTAGATCGACTCTATGTATATACTTGTATGTATCGTTATGGGAATGTGAGTGCGGCCTTCGTTCGTTTACAGTACATACCTACATATTAGTTCGGTCACGCCAATGGGCTGTTAAGTATCATTTACTATGACCGATCCAGTTGCTTTTTACTTAAATAATATTGTAAGTCTACCGGAGTTTATTGACTTGGGAGTGATCGACATCACTTCTATTGAATTCTTTTGTATGAAAACGAGTATAAATAATGATCGTGAACACTACCAAAGCATATATTAGGATGTTGTTTTTTATTACAACTGTTTGTTCACTCGCCTCGACTACAATTGTTATTGATGACCGCAAACATCATTACATCGTTAAGTAAGAAATGTTAACAGAAGAAAATGTACAACCCCATATGAAATTCAATTATTTGTATAAGAATTACACTTTTAAGTTATTTCACTTTATTTTGCCGTAAAAATATCATTTAAGGTATTATACCCGAAAAAGCAAGGAATTACAAAACGAAAACATTGTAACATTTTAACAAAATATCACTATAAATTCCATCGAGTTACTTAATTCAATACAAAATACTTGAATTAATATTACAATGAATAAATATTATTTTCTTAAAAGAAACGTTTCAAGTTCACAAACGTCTCGCGATTCAAGAGAATCCTTTTAATAAAACTCCCGCCGTACAGACCGAAGGTACCTCTGAAAACCAGAGATATTTTGATACTATCATGTTCCACTTGAATCGCTTCAAATAAAATATTTTCTTATACGAGTATATAAAATTCTCGTGTCGCGGTGTTAGACAGAGAACTCCTCCGAAACGGCTGGACCGATTTTGATGAAATTTTGTGAGCACATTGAGTAGTTCTGAAAATCGGCCAACATCTATTTTTCATACCCCTAAGTCATAATTTTTTTTTATAATGTAGCATTAAAAAATACATATGTAGAACCCAAAATTTTCACTTTTTTATCACCAACCCTATATTTTTTATTTTGCTAGTAAAGATATATATTTTACCTATACTGTGACAAAAATGAAAAAAAAAATGAAAAAATTAAATTATCAATGAACAATGCAATGAAGCTGTTAGATTATGATGGCATTAAAAACGTTTATACGCACTAATAAGACGACACAATAAACGTCATCATAAAGAAAGAAATACCTTTGTAATGTATAATGATGTATTAAAACACGTATCAACAGCGATGTTAACCGATAAACTGGGTTTATTAATAATATAATATCATCAAACGTTTTAGACTCATCGTACGTGGAGTGAAATATATGGTTTATATTTACAAATAAACATTAAACTTATATGTCTGTTTGTTGTTGTGAGATAATCGTTTTTTTAATAAAAATACATATTATGTTAAGTATGCACCTACATATGTATTAATATGTGTATTTTTTTTCAGCCTATCAGAGTCCAAAGCTGAGCAAAGGCAACTTTCTTTCATGGAGAAGGTTTGAGCATTAATCACCACGCTCACTCAAGACGGGTTGGTGATTTCAAACTTATAATTCTAAAATTTTAAGTCCAGGTTTTTTCACGATGTTTTCCTTCACCGTCTGTCAGTGGTGTCTAAATACTCTTAGAAAGTACGCATGACTCGGAAAAATCACATTGGTACTTGCCAGGATCGAACCCGCGACCTCGGCAACGAGAGGCGGGTCCTTTGGTCACTAGGCCATCACTGACTATATTGAATTATATTCATAGGTAATTATTTTAATCTACCTAAGATTTTAAAATCAATATATACTTAGGTATAACTTATTAAAAATATAAAAAAAGTTTAATAATATTTAGGATATATATTTATGGGTTACATTAATAGTAAATTTTAAATAAGGCAACGCCTCAAGGTAATATGTTTTCAATGTTTTGTATGTCTTTAAACTACAGCTAATCTCTGAAAAGATTGCACCGATTTTGAAAGTATATTTTCTGAATTTTCTGAAACGAAAAGCTGAGTGTTTACCTAGATAAAATATCTGTGTTTATAAATATTTTTATTAAATATAAGTAGCGAATAAAATGAAATCCTAAAAGTAAATATAAATCCGTCATGTTGGTTATATTTAAAACAGACGAGTTGAGAGCAGCAGCAAGTTATTTTAATATATTTTATATGAAAGATTCATTCATAGATTATTTCATCCACTGACAGAAATAAAAAACTTAGTTGTTTAGGTATATAAAAATATCAGAATTTTAAATAACTCTGAATGAACGAAAACTATTTAATGTCAAAATATATACAGTGTAAACTCTATATAACGACGCTCGATTTAACGACAAACTCTCTAAAGCGTCGAAATCATTTGATTTTGGTTGGTTTAGCCTGTCTACCATACAATGATACACTCTACATAGCGGCACACCCACTCTCAATAACGATCACAATTAAGTAATAAAAAGTACCTTTTAAGTTGTTAAAATTAGTAAAAACTGTGCAGCTGTGTACGTTCTTTTGTCACTTTTTAATCCTAGCCCGCAATAAACTCGACTGTCCCTATCATGCATACCGAACTTTCTAAGAAATTCGTTCTTTTGTTTACAATTACAAATTGTCGACGGTTTTTGACCATAAGTAGGAGTCTTGTATTACCTATACGTTAACATAAACAGTTGCTCACAAAAACAATAGTCAGAAATAAACTTTATCTTTTTCTAATTCTGATTTTTCTCCTCTCTATTTAACGGCAACTCTCTATAACGCACTAAAATGCACGGTCCCTTCAGTGTCGTTATGTAGAGTTTACACTGTATATGAATTATTTTTACAATACAAATATATCGTAAGTGATGTATTTTATATGAGAGAGTTTAATCTCTTAATATTACGTGAACAGAATTTAGGTTTTACAAACGACGAAAAATATTTCGAAAGAAATTTGGAATAAAGAATTTTAAAATATATTTTGATCTCTTCTTTACTTTATTTTCGCTTTAGTCATTTTCATATCAAGAAAATGACTTTAGTATGCGTACAAATAAATTTTTTTTTGCAAAATTTTAAAATAAAATTATTTATATGTAATACGTACTTTCAAATATAGGTAACGAGAAATTCATAGACGATTCTCTAGTTAAAATAATGTAGTATCAAAATTTTTCTTTTAATATTGAAATATTGAATTTTATATTAAGACCACTATTATAACTTACGTAACAATAAAAATATATAAAGGTAAATATGTCTATGTATGCTTAATAAATTTTAAATCAGTGAACGCATCAAAGTTGTAAGACATGTAACGAGGTATTGAGTTGGAAACTTTTAAGTAATAGAGTATAGTTTGATATAATGTATGAAGTTCACTAACACTCTCATAAGATAAATGAGAACGAATTTTCGATTGACAAATGGTACGCGTCAAGGATATTAAGGAAACTTAATAAAACCGAATTCTTAATGAATATTGTTGGTTCCGTATAACATTTTCTTCTTTAATGTGAATAATTTTTTCTTATAAGGTTGTAATCTTCACCACGCAGAGAGGACGTCTGTAACAAAGGCTGTAAAATTAAAAGATACTACCAAGCTCTCGATGTCCCATGTATTATTATTAACTTTTTTATTATTAATTTATTTATATTATAAAAAATAATTATTTTTAATATAGTATTTATTTTCATTCGTTATATTAAGTTATTGTCTATAAAAAAATGTTTATGTTTACATATCGTTTTCTTTTACTGTTTGAATGAATTTCTGATATTTTTCTATTAAAAGCGTCTTATATTTTCTGTCCATTCGTAATAATGACTTAAATTATATACTTTTATGTGAATTACAAATAAAAGTTGTCCGTAGACCAGCTACATTACTACGCTGCTACGAATCGTAGCCGCCGGCTACGTAAACGCGTAATCAAAGTAATTGTACACTTGGTTATAAACCATACAAACAGCTAGTACAAAACTAATAATGCCAATATTATTTAGTTATACAGAAAAAAAGATAAATAAATTAGGTACCTATAAGATCCTTCTGACTAAGCAAGATATTTCCTTTTCATAACATTTGTCCGTTAATTTTTGTTTATTATTATAAATAATAACAAAAAAGATTTCTTTATATAATACATTTTTATTATATTTATATTATTATCACGGAAGAATCTCTTTGAGAACGATTGAGTTTAGCCGCCGCCGGCACATTCTCTAATCATAGTCTAGTCAAGAACCGTGATAGTAATAGGTTATTGTTTGAATGTTTTTATAAACATATTTATTTCCCTCTTGAATACTTTAATTCATTTCAACCTATTATAATTAATTCGTTATTTGTCCTCTACATATCTTTGAGAGCGTCTGTTGACACCGAGAGCTTGGTATTTAGAAGAAATTCGCTGAGACACATACATTGTTAATGGAGCTCCATGTGAAGTCGCGATCGCAAGCTAGCAATACAAAGAATACAAACGCTTAGCATACAAATATTATCCTGAAAGAAAAGCTTTGTTTATCATTAGTGTGTGAAATGTGTGGATCATGTAGGTATGGTAGTGGCGGGATGTTCTCTTGGTATGAATGTCGTTATAGTATATACATGATACTTGTAAGATACTCACGGAAGGATTGGGCACGCAGCGGCGCGGGTCCGAGCTGCGGTACGTGGGGCTGTACCGGCCCGGGAAGCAGCCGGGGGGTGCCATGAGCGCCCCGCCAGACTTCATCTTGTCCGGCGAGTACATCGCACATGACCCCCAAGGGTCGTCCTCCAACTTCAACACCTTGGAGGGTGAGTGATACTGCCTGTCGAAAATTTTGGCGACTTTATCGTACTTCGGGGGTGAAAAGGCGACGCGTCGCCGCGACCGTTCCTCGCGCCGGGTGATAACCGACTGATCCGGTTGCCTCGTGACGTCACCGGCCACGCCCTCTCCCCACCACCAACCCCTGCTGCTCTGCCACTGCACACCCTCCCTCTCCTCCTAGTCCCCCCCCCCGTCTCTCTCTCTCTCTTCCCTACTCTGAACACCCCCTATCTCGCACGCATGTTTACGTCGCCGGCGGCGGCTTCACGATTAACTGAATTATTTAATTGGTCCATTCACTTCTGTTGTCTGTTACCTTTTCACGCTTCTAATTCGGAAAGGTTGACGGATCGCCGGTGACGCAATTGGCACAATCCTAATTAACCCTTAATCTACCTGTATTGAATTTCAGAACAATTACGTAAACGTCATTTCGTTCCGTTCTTTTCGGGCGGCTTGTAAATTTTCAGATATTTATATAGATTTATCTTTATAAATTTAACAATAGTCATATCTGATATCACGTATAAGATTTCGGTTAAAAAAAAAACACTAAAAAACTCAAAGGTGATGATTTGCACGATAACAAATTTTGTCGCCCAAGTATGACTTTAATAAATTAAATAATAATTAGATAGGAACATTATCAAATATCACAAACAATTGAACGTTGCCCAAGACGCTTGTCATATATCCATCAATATTTTATTAAGTACACGTCACATAAACAGTTCTATGTTGATGTTTCAATTATCGGTACAAATTTTGTAAACACCTATGTATTGTATATATCATGCATTTTTAATAGTTTTTTTTATCGTTTCATACGATTTGACGTTCAAATGAAGTAATCAATCCGTTAATGAATGTACATTAACACACCAGCCATGAATTTGTACGTACAATGTAATGAATACCAGGATGTATTGGAATGTTTCGAATAAATTTAATGTACTTTTCATAGGTGCCATTCAGTTCTTTCATATATAAATAGCTATAATTTAAATGAAACTATCCTGAGATACCTACTCATTATTATTATTATTAATATATAACATTAAACACTTTTATATATAACATAATTAACATATTGTCAAAGCTTCCAAGTTGAGATTATCGTACTTATGATACTAAATGTGAAATTATCTATAACGAATGTACTCGGATACTTGGTCTGTCAAAAATATAAAAGATGTAGTGACACATACGAGTGGAGATTAGTAAATGTTGACTCTGACTAGTAAATAAATTGTAAGGGAATGGAAAATAAGGAGTATGATATGTTGAAAACAATCGCGTTTCTTTTTAATTCCTTAAAGCGTCGTAATAAATGTAGAAATAAAATCAAATAAGCTCTATAAACATGTTTACATGAAAGCATTATGTTTAATAATCATAACAGAAGGTATCTCAAACAAGATAAAGGATATTTTTTTTTGTAAATGAAATACATCATATTTCACATTTCATTATTATTCATGCACACAATTAGTAATCGGAACAAAAAACTAAAAGGGTTTTAAAGTGATTCCGCCGGGAGAGCTGGCAGTGATGATGCGATGCGTAATTAGCGAAGATCATAACCCTGCAAACTGGGTACATGTCAAAACAACGCAACCCTCCGTAATTACCCGCCCCGCCGCCAGATGGCGGGAGTTTAATTTTTCGATTTCGGACTGGCGTACATTATGCATGACGCTTTTATCGCTCGCTGTGGTTCCTTCGGGACTTCATAATATTCGTGTCAAACTAAGGGTTTCAGCGTGTATACGAACAAATAGTATTGTTCGTTACAAAAATAACAAACAAAACGCCGAATAACAATCAGACAGAAAGTAGTTTACGCGTCTAATATAAAAACATGCAAGTGAAATGATTACAATTAAATATTTAAAGTTTATTGTTTCTTCTATATCTTAAGTGTATATTTACGTTTTAAGCAGAACGATTATTATCTATGTTTAAATCTAAGAGCGTGCAGTGAAATCGCTTTCAGTTCGTAGTAAAAACCAAACTACAATCGCATACCCTTTTTAGGGTCTCACATATCGGCGCGAAACCACTACTAGAAGTAGACTGACGGATGCATTGATGTTTCATAAAAACTAACTAACACAGTTTGTTTATTTATATATAATTTGTCACGTCGATACCGACACCGATAGGAAAAATATATTGACAAGGAACAATCTATATAAATTATGATTAGATATAACTGAATATTCCTTAAATGTATATAATATTACTCTTAATCAACCAAGTAGGTACTAATGTAGATTTCTAACAAAAACTTTACAAGTCTCTCGCTCACGATTCTCCTTCGCTCTGCCTACACTGTATTGCTTGTATGATGTATCGTACGTCAGGTGATACATCACTGTTTTAAGAGATGTATTTGAGAAGTGTTGCCTTGATTGATCAATGGAATATATCCATTCTAAACACTCATTACCGTAGATCAAATAATAGTAATAGGTTTATAACTGTTGGTTTATAATTTTCTCATTTTAACAGAAAAATAACTAAATGATACCTATTCGTTACTCCTTGATCCATAAAAATGCTATTCGGCGTTTTAATACCTTATAATTTTGTTGAATTTCATTTGTTTAGTACGTTTTCTTATACAAAATTTTCTTGCTTCCATAATTTTCGTAAGTATAATTGAATATGATCGTTTACAGCAGAAATATATGATGCTTTCATAATTTTATACACCTTTACACAGTTACATTGATGAAGATATATAAACGAAACCAAAGGTAAACATATATAACAAAAAGTAGTCGGACGTTTACATAGGGTGAAGCTTCCTGATTCCGGATGTGGCCTCCCCGCGCCGGAAACAGAAGAGCTTTCACGACTGACGGTGTACTGTACGAAAAAAACTCGTAGATATTCAAGTTGTAAATAAAAAATATATAAATGTACTAGTATTAAATTGAAACAAGTAAATATATATGTATATGTATATTATAACTCTAGTCTCTCATATGTCATAGATAGATAGTCTAGCTACTTTCCTAAATAAAGAACAAGTCAAACATTTAAACATCATATTATAACATTTATACACCTATTTCTCTCTATATCGTTTTTATTCAATCTCTAACCTGCGACTCAAATTGTATAAGAGTTTTTTCTTTTTTAAGCAGAGTCATTCCTTTCATTCCATTGAAAAAACTTCCCAAAATTTTACATACAATTTTAGAAGGAAGAAATTAAAAACAAGTATTTTAAATCAAGTGATGTACAAAAGATCTTTAATGACCATCCACAAAGTACGTAGTCAAAAGTACGTTTAGATTTTTTAAATCTTAGGTATTGATATTTTACATATAAATTTTATTACAACTATATTTATTATAAGACGATTTTATTATATGTTATAAATAGTTAATAACAAAATATATAATACTTAAATAACAAGTATCTATTTTATTTTTAAGGATTATCCATACAAGATATTAAAGTATTTATGAATTTTACCAGAGGAACAAACATTATTCATTCATACATGATTTACCATAAGTTAAAATTTTATAATTGTTATTTCTTCGGCATTTATTTTTCAAGTATTTGGTATTATAATGTTGTTCCACTCATACTTATTTTTATATTATGATTACTTTTTGTTATCCGTACGGAGTTCATGAAAACGGGAAAATATGTTATTCGCGTTCCCTCAATTAAAACCTTAATTAACGTTGTATTAAAAGCGAGACCTAATCTCATATATATATCACTTTTGTATTTGTCAGTAAAGTGATTTTCTGTGTTACGCGAAATTGAACATCCTCAGTGGAAATGATATTTCTATGTATACAGGCGATACGTGTCAGATTTTCGTTAAAATATTTAAAGATTTTATATTTATTTATTTGCAAAATACGTTAAAATAACAATTAGATGATAAGTCAAATATTAAATAAACTAAAACATGTAATATGTACTGGATACGTAAAAAAGATTTATGTAAAAATAAGAACAATATAATACTTATTGTAAGATATAAATATAGATAGTTTTTATATATTTGCATAACGCACAATAAAAAAAACGATTTGATAAACCTTATGGTAGCGTTGCTGATATAATAACAAAGTAACTGAAACTGATTGTTAGAGTAAAGAGAGTTAGTGTTTAAATAAAGACTTGAGTAACATCTAGCATGTAACAAGTATCGTCATTAAATCTTCCAATGAAATACATGATATGTAATATTATAACAAGTCTTTATTAAATTTATAGTGACGTCCAAATAGCTACAACAATTACTTCTGTTATAATACTTTAATCTCTAAAAGCTTAGCAAACGACATTTAACACATAATATTTATATGAATATAGTTATTAAAAAACAATAAGTAAGGAGGTGATAATCTAAAATGTTAAAGTAAACGGTTATACAAGGAGCCGGACGTGCGATCACAGATACCGTACGGCACGTGCCGAGCGTGTACCGGACACACAAACAACCGTGGACTGACCACGAATTATACCTGCTATGAAAATACATTAACATTTTCGTAAATTATTTCATAGGGCTATTCATACCAGACGAACCGTTAAGCCCGATTAACATTTATTTTGACGTAAATATTATTTTATTTCGCTTTTCTTTTTAAGCGCTAGCCAACTCGCTGGAATCCGTCAACAATAAACGTATTTAAATAATGATCATATGTTTTTAATGTTATTTTATACATGGATTTTATCATTTTATGATTTTTTTATGAGTTTTATAGATTGAAATGATGACTTTATTGTTTGTTGTCTGTGTCTGGATGTTCCGTACTAAACATAAATATGACATACAAGTTTTACCTACTCAACATAAATGAAATTTGTCATAATTTTTTGTACCTACAAACGCTGTTATTGATGTTTTCTCAGAAGCTCATCAAAAAGATAATAGATACAAGATCTTGATTACA